ACGGGGACTACTTCATGCTGTCTTTCTCTGTAATTTGTGTATCCCATAGCAAGAAATCCTTCTGTAATGGCCAACTGTCACAAATTCCACAGCAAAGTTTCTTTTTTCTGAGGAGACCATTTCATTAAAATAAGCTTGTTTCCTCCTGAATTTGCAGTGAAGCGTTAAATAACTTGGAGTGGGAGGGTGCAGGGAGAGGATGGGAGAAGTTCTCATGTAAAGGACAAAAACAACTTCACAACAGTCTTTACCAAGCACTATGCCTCAATGTACATATATTTGTATACATCCATTTCAGTTTTTACAGCTGTCAGATCTGCATGTTAATCTCCTAAAAAGGTAGAAAAATTATTACTGTAGCTCAAGATGGTCTGAAATTAGGCAAGATTTTGTAAATAACAATTCCAGTGTTACTTTGGTTTCAGTAATATTTAACTACTCCTAGTCTTGTATATTGTGTTCTATTTTTATACTTAATTTTGTATTTGACAAGACTTCAGCCTGATTATTTGTGATTGTTTTTATACAACAATAAATTTGTGAGACTTTGCTAAAATTCTGAATATTTCTGTTGTATGAAAAGTAAGACTCCTAAAACTTAATGGTTTGGGTCCATAAAAATTATATTTAAGGTTTTTTTTTAACTGGAAATATTTCAACCATGTACTTTTCTGTCTTTGCATGGCAATTGGACTTTTCCTCAAACTGAGTCAGACTGGTGCCGTGCATTGGTACTCCACTTACCTCAGCGTCTCTTTAATAATAAGGAAGGTCGTTTTCTAGTACATTCTGTTCTCATCTTATATTTTTCATGTCTTAAAAGATGTTCAGGTATGAGAAATATTTATGAAAACAGTAAATTATTTTAACTTTCTGCATTGTAGATAATAATCTTTATAGTTGACGCTTTTTGAAGCCCAGAATTATCAAATAAGAATGGAATCAAGTGCTGGCTGTTAAAATCTTAATGGGTTGTATTGTATCAATGGTCTAAGCAAGTCCTGTACATTTTTGTAAAAATAAATTAAAATTTTACATTTTTGTAAAAATAAAGCAAAATTATCTGTTCACTACTTTATAAAGGCAATCTTAGTCTAACTCGATTACAGTGGGGACCTACACAAATTGGAAACAGCCCTTATAAAATATGATTATTTTAGGAAACTTGTGAGTAATTTAAAAGACAAAATAGCAATGGGAGACAACTTTTGAAGTCAACTCTCTGGTTCTAATAACTGCCTTAAAAATTTATTTTCTAGACTCTCCAGGCTGTGGTGTCCAACAGTAAGTGGAATCAAATCACAGAATACCAGGTTGGAAGGGACCTCAAGGATCATCTGGTCCAACCTTTCTCGGCAAAAGCACGGTCTAGACAAGGTGGCCCAGCCCCTGTCCAGCTGAATCTTAGAAGTGTCCAACATTGGGGAATCCACCACTTCCTGCAGAGGTTATTCCAGTGGTTGATTGTTCTCATTATGAACAATTTTCCTCCTGTGTCCAGTCTCCCCAGGAGAGACCCCTTGTGTTTTCCGTGTGCCTCCTTGTGAAGAGGGACTCTCCATCTTCTCTGAGCCACCCTCTAAACACTGAGCGTGGTGAACAAGGCTGAACAAGCCCAATTCTCTCAGCCTTTCTTCAAACAGAATTCAAGTATTTCACTTCTTAGTAAGATACTTGTGTGCAATTACCACATAAACTCGACTCAAGCTAGTCTCAATGGAAGATAATCTACTTGTTCGGATTTATTTGAACTCTGATAAACTAGCAGGTTTGTATGCTAGAAGAACGCAAGTTTCCCTGAGGGGTGGGCTGGTCTTGAGGAAAAGAGATCCGGGGCTGGTTTTGATTAACTTGGTTTAAAAGGAAATGTCTCACAAGATCCATTCCAGTGCTGTGGAAGTCACCTCCCTTTGGTTCAAGATGTTTTCCTGCAACAGTCTGAGCCCTGCTTAGTCCTTTATACTGCCCATCTAGCTAGCTTGTGTCTCGTGTAGCAGAGCACACAACCTTGCTTCCACAGTGTGTAAGTGTAACGTAAGAAAAAATAAGCTAATATTTGGAGCAGAAAACACCTTTTCTTCCAAAATGTAAAAATCAGCCTCAGGCATCTTGGGAATGACTGAAGATACCTGGAAAGGAAAAAGACAAAACCCATGCCTGCGATCTACCTAAACAAAAAAATTCAGTGAAACCAGAAGTAAAAAAGCCCTGGCGTTTCACAATGACTACACCCTTCTAAGCATAGTTCTTACTGGGTGTATAATTAAAAACAAAACCTCAGCAAACATATTCTCGTTGAAATATCAGTCAAGTTTCAAGCTTTTAACTGTCATTTCACTATTGCTTCCTAGAATGTAAATGGTGACATTCTACAATCCCATGAGTAATACAGAAAAAAGCAGTTAAGCCTTGTGCATGTTCTTGCAAGCGTGTGTTGTATTAATACTACTGCAGAGTAGCAGGAGGGAGGTGGAAGGATCCCTCTACAAGCAGGACTACCTCAGTCTTTGTAAAAGCCCTGAAACAGGGCAGGGTGTATCCTGGCAGCTGGGAGGGATGTGACCCTTGCAGGTTGCAGAAGGACACTGAACCTCAGCCATCAAAGCAAGACCCATGGGGCTACCAACCAATGTCAGGGGTTTGGTGGTGTGCTGCTTATATGTTGTCTTGAATATAAATGACCATTTTGCAGATGTCATACAGGTTCTCTGTTTTACAGGACTTGTAAGGACACCACAAAAATTAAGCTAGCAAAAGAGCTTCCATGTATGGCTTGCACAAAAATTATCTCTGGGGAAAATTAAATCCATATTTACTTTCTAGTATACAACAGTCCTTACAGGGCTGAAAAGAGGGATTTTATGTAGGTAGTTGTCAACTTCAGATATTCTGACGCTGTTTATTTCATGACTTCACAATATTTAAAAATAAATAAAAGTGCCTAAAGAGATAGAAAAAAATGTGTTTACTTTCAACTGGTAACACATCTTTAGTATAATATTTCGGCATCTGCAAAATAACAAGTATTTTTACAAGATTATACATAAACTTCACTAAAGAAAAACCACGTGTTATAGCGCACTATGGTAATGCAAGTTAACTATGTAAATTAAGTTTAACCTGAAACTAGTAAAATGAAAAATATTGTACTAACTCTTAATCTATTTCTGATTTAAATAACCTTCTTGAAAACCTTTCTCATCTTCATTTTTTTCTCTTTTGTCTTAGATAAACTGAAGGTTAAGTCACAGACTTTCTGACATTGGTTTTATCTTGAAAGAGGGACATTTTCACCAGGATTTGCAAATCGTGAAATGCTCCGTTTTCTCCGTATTGAGTTACAGGATTTTTTCCTCGCAGCTCCTCGGGGGCGGTGCTGAGCCCCTCTGCTGAGGGGAGAGCACCTCGCCTGCTGTCTGGGCTGCCACCGCTGCTGGACGGTGCCGTTCTGTTCCGCAGCCCGCTTTGTACAAGAACTTCTTTAGAGCCCAACCGGAGGCGAACCTGCCGGTGCGCGGATGAGCCCTCCTCTGGGAAACGGGACCCTCCGGGGGAGTGTTCAGAGCAGGAGCTCCCGGCCGCTGGGGGAGGCCTGGCCCGGCTCCGCTCAGGGCTGCGCCTCCCCCGGCTGTGGGGAGCAGCGGGACGGGGCT